TGGTCGCATGCGGCATCTCAAGTGGATTTATAGTACATTTTGGCCATAACGCCGAATTTCCGTGACGGTTGCTTATCCGTCTGCCCAGCTCCCTGATTGCCAGGCCCCCAAAGTTGTTTTGGTTTATTCGAAATGGACATCACTCAATGACAACGACTTCGCTTTAATTCCGAAAACCCTTTCCACCAACTTTCTTTATCGCGATCCATTTTCATCCGGTTAGCGTAAGATCCTCGATCCAGGCGTCTCCTTTTTGCTGGTTTTACTCTATTTTTGTTTTCCCCGAGTTGGCTTAGGCAGAAGGCAAAGTTATCGCTAACTCTATCTTCCTCTAATCTCCAGTTCATAAGATCTTTCTCCCCAAGAATGTCACTGGCCTCCCTAATTTTCCGCTTCCTTGTTTTGTCACCGTATGGAGCTCTTCTTCCTGTTGCCTTCCGATTGATCTCGTATCAAGTCTGTGCGATGTTTTCCGCTAGTTCTGATCTTTCGGTATACATTTTCCTGCAGAGCCTCTGATGTTCCTTGATGCGTGCCAATTTTTCTCCCTGTTTCACCAATATATTCATGTTCACAGGCGCCGCATGATATACAGTAATCTACTTTTCATGTTGCGTGAAAGGTGTTGATTTCTCTTTCATGGTCACCAAAATATTCCATTTATTCAAATTGTCCGTAGTTTTTGAGTTCGTTCGCAGGAAGATAGGCATATCCACTTTTGTGAATCTTTTATCCTCAATCTTCTTTCATAGTCCCCGTTCTGCAATCGGCTTTTTACGGCCCGTATGTTTCTTTGTTTCACTTGTAAGGGTAGCCATTGCCAAAGAATATCAACGTCAATTTATCCAGTTCCGCATCCCAGAATTCTACATCAGTTAGGCGTGAGCTTTGGATTATCATGCTCCTTATTATTCCAATCTTCAGTCTCTAATTGTGATAAGACCAGAAATGGAATATTATCCCAACATAGGACTCCTTTCTGAACAATTTCTGTTTGAGCGTCCTATTAGAACGAATCACTTCAACGTCCAGGAACGGTAACCGCTCACCTTCCTCTACTTCCACCGTGAATTTAATTTTTCCATCAATGTGTTTTACAAACTTCAGAAACTCTTCCAGTTTTTCTTTTCCATGTGACCAAAGTGCCAAGTAATCATTCAGGTACTGCATGAGCACTGTCTATTTTAGCGGTGCCATCTTGAAGCTCTCTTCTATTTTGTTCATGTATACGTTTGCCAAAAGTGGTGAGAGCGGTTATCCCATAGGAAGTCCAAATATTTGTTCATAGATGTTCCCGTTGAATGCAAAATAGGTTCTCCTTATTGCCAAGTTGATTAGTCTTGTTAACGACTCCCTCCTGATCCGTTGTGATTCCAGGATATTCTCCTCTCGGTCCAGGATTTCCAGTAGGGCCGTTAGTGCATCTGGATGGGAAACCCAAGTCAGATTAGCCGATCTAAAGAGAGGGGGTCGGGGTGAATAGCAAGTGCAATGAGGCCACGCTAGATTTGCCACAAAATGACACATTTTGACCAGTGGAATGTAAACAAGGTAGATGTTGCGATAGGGCGGCAGTGGGATAAGTGGGCAAAGAATAGATAGATACGCCAAGACATTAAGCAGAGTGATAGTGTAACTGTTTTCGGCAGGACGTTTGTCGTTTCACTTGTCTCTGACGAGTTCGTATCTTGGTGCGGTGAATGGCAAAACTCACCGATTATGCCGACTACGATGCCGGCCAAACGTTTGAGAATGTACCAAGTCCACTGTCTGATGCTTGGAATCATGACAACTACTATGGCAGACGTCTTCGGACTAGGTGCGTTCTACTAAGTCGCCCTGACAACAAGACCAAGTTGCGGCAACGAGGTCAACCCA